GGTCTAGATATTTTTGATATGTTTAGAGGGTGCCGTGACTGAGTAATGGTTGAGCACTGCTGATGCCGAGTACCAAATCCATGTATATATAGCTTCCTTTGTGTCTGAGGTGTGATGAGAAGTGTGCCATGGAAGTGTGTCTAGGTCATGGTGTGAATTTCGGCGCCGGTCCATTCATTTGTAGATCCTCCACATCCTGTGAAGAGGAGACACAAAGCCACCCCTCCCCCAGGGAGCACACACTTCTTTTACTCAGCACTAATTACCCACACACGCCTCTTATTGGTATCCCAAAGAAGGGTACACAATGAAGCTGATTCCACAAGAATTGGCTGAAATTTGCTGCATTGGTGACCCTATTCCATTGGCAGAAGTCAATCCTTAGATTGTCTCTACCTTACATAATGACTGTGTATATGGGTTCTGGAAGTCACAAGTTTCAATAAGACATTTGTGAAACGTTCTTGGGGGTAATCAGAAGCATTGTGTTAAATTCATAAAAACCCTACAAAATTGTTACTGTAAAGTGCTATTGTTGTTACAAATTCATAAGGAAATGCGCCCATATGGGTGATAAAGAAAGTGGAGGTAAGACTAGGGAATATGAGCTCAGGTTTGGACTGAACCTGGTCTGCTCCTGATCGCCTCTGAACATGGAAGCAGTGACGTCACAAATGGGGGTGCGGGTGGTTGACACCAAAAGGACTGACAGTCATTTTGGTATCACCCCCTCTGAAAAGTCGAGGAACTCTGTCATGGATCAAGAGCCCGACAGTTTCGGGAGAGAGGAGGGGACCCGGCGGCATATCTTATCCCGTTGGGTGACTGTTCCCTCCTTTCTCTGCCGGCATCCATCATCAAGATGGCCGGCGGCAGGTATCAATAAGATCGCCACGCATGCGCGATGACATCATGGCGTGGTGACGTCATTCACATGCACGTTGACGTCATGGCGGGGTGTCACCCGGTTACCGCTGGCCACATGGGTAAGTTGGTCAATGACACTCACCCTATTTCAGAGGAGCTCAGGTTTGGACCAGGTCCAGTCAGGCCGTATAAGGTCAATGACATCAGCACAAGCATGGGAAATGCCCTTGCCCACGGTTCATTGGGTTGGTGGTCCAATGTAGCTTCCAGGTTCAGAGGAGCTCAGGTTCAGACCGGGTTCTATTTGCACCCTGAGGTTATCCCTAAATAAGACCTCCTCCATGTTGGAGACGATTTGTCTTTGGGCTGCTCAGGAACTGATATTTGATACGTTTCTATGACTCTCCCAACTTCTATTTGTAGAAGTTCAGAGAGTAATGGAAACATTCAAGAGGAACCTAAAGGGAAATCTTGTGGCAGAACGTAGCCAACATGGAAAAGGTCTTACTTACCTACGCGTTCCCTAGCGCTGATCTGAAGACATTTCTTTAAAAGGAAGTTTTCCCTGCCTGCCAACAGTGGTTTTTTTTGTGTGAATGTGTGCTAAGCCATGACAAGTAAGAGGCTTAATAAAGCTTCTACTTTCACTGGCACCAGGTTCTTCAACCTGGTGACATCACGGTCACCTTAAAGGAGAACTATGACATGAGTGCTTTTCACTCACCTCATAGTTCTAGCCGACCTGTGACAATGATACGGTCACAGGTCGGCTCAGTAGATCGGGAGGTGAGCGAACACATACCGGCGTTCGCTCACCTCTCGATCCTGTCACGGCTCTCTGCCGTGACCGGGGAGGGGCTGGATTCCCCCCTCCCCGCTCCGATTCGCCAGCGCTGACTGGCGGAACGGACGGGGGAGGGGGCGGGTACAGCTGGCTCTGCCTCTAAATAGGCAGAGCCAGGTGTCAGTCACGCAGCTGGGCGGATCCCGGCACAATTGTCGGGATCCGCTTCAGCTGCCGCGTCTCAGTATACCGCGAGCAGTAGCTTGCGGTATACTGCGGCGTAGCTCGCGGTATACTGAGCCTAGGGTGACGGGAGGACGCTAGTTTGTGTCCTCCCGTTACCCTAAGGATAACTATGGGGAAAAGCCTTAACCCCATAGCTCTCCTTTAAAGTGGGCCTTGCACCTCAGTGACAAGGTCCATTTATTCAAGGTTCACTAAAACTCTGAATGGAAGAATAAAAAGAAATAATTGTGAGTAAAATGTACAGATAATATACTTTAGACATGTGCAGGGCAAAAAAAAACGTTTTCTGACTAAATGAATGAAAACGAAAAACATTTTCATTCGTTTCCTCAAAGAAAACACATTTTTATGCTGTTGTGGATTCGGAGGCAACAAGCCTCCGAATCTGAAACCGCAACCTGAAACTGGAGAACGAGCGGCGGCCATATTGCCCGCCGGCACGTTCTGCACATGCGCACCGCCATCTTTGAGTGTATCTTAGTATACACCAAGATGGCGGCGCCAGCATGTTCAGGAGCCGCCATCTTGGTGTATATCAAGATATATTCAAAGATGGCAGCGCGCCTGCGCCCGATATGGCCACCGCTCGTTCAACGTGTGACATAACCGGCATGTGACGTCAATCACTTCACCTCCAAGATGGCGGCGGGCATGCACAGAACATTCTGGTGGCCACTTTGGCCGCCGCGCGTTCTGCAAACAAATTTATGTATGCCTAAATATAGTTTTCGTATATTCGGGCATA